AACATCTTTATTGTAGATATTATTACATGATATTTCTGGTGTAAAGATGTCCTTTTTTCCTATCTAGCTTCACTCTTGATACTTAGAGAAACAAAGTTAGAAGATTCCCTGTGCAGTTTCCGCTCTGGAACAGATAGCCCTCTCCTTAATCTCAGAGGCTACAACTATGTTTCAAAATGATCTCAAGCTCTTGACTGCAGCCCTACAGTTGCAGCGGGAAACAGTGTAGATACAGAAAATCCTAGAAGCTGGTGGTCTGGCAGGGCCCTGTGAGTGAGGGAACTGGTTGTCATGACACTCAGATGGCTTCTTAGATGAGATCTTGCCATTGCAATGTTCTTGGGTAGAGACGTCTATACCACGTGAGAGCAGAGGGTTAGCTGGCCCATTTCCTTCCATTCTCCCATGTGGTTTTAGAAATAAAACTTCATTGACTATATTCCAATGAGTATATGGGTAACACAAATTGGACTTGGTGTATTGAGGGGGCAATGCGAGGTTGGTGGGTGGATCTGGGAGGGATGGGAAGTGAGTGCGATCAGCCACATTGTATAAAATTCCCAAATGATTAATAAAAATATTATGTTGGGGAAAAAACTTGAAAGTCAAAGAACAAATTAAATTTTACTGTGTAAAATGCAGATTATGTTTATACTAGGAATTTACTTTTTAAGAGTGAATGTAAGAGCAGATAGCAAGATGTCATATAGACTGATGCGGCTTCCACCTTTTCCAGGCCTCACTGCTTGTCAGAATCATGTGTAGGCTGCTGCGAGCCAACAGTGCCCACTCCATAGTGGTGCTCCACACTCCTCAAATCACAGTCCTCAGGGCTTCCTGTCCTGCTGGTCTCAGGCACTTTTGGAACATCCTGAGTTGGGCTGCAGGGGTGAGGGGGGCTCGTGGTGTTCTTATCTTGTGGACAGGTAAGTTCTTTGAGGCGAGCTCTGGACTCCAGAAGGAGGCTGTACAAGTTCCCTGTGCCCCTCCCACTACATGTAGAGGACCTTGTAAGCTGCTTCAGAGGTTCTGAGATTGGAATCCAGAGGTGCTGGGCTGAAGGCAGGGTTGGTAGGCAGGGTGTAAAGCACACTTTCTTCCAAGAGCAAGCATTGATGAGTAGTGTGATATACAATGTCTGATATTCTCAGAGAGCATGTTGTTTTGTTCACTTGAGCTGTGTATTGATAGTAGGTGGTTTAAAATTCAAAATTCAGGCATAGAAGATTGTTGAGTGAGAAAGAGCCCCTGGGGAACTGGCAGCCCCCAAGGTAGTATAGTCTGCAGCGCAGATACACGTAGTGTGAGCAGATCTTGCTGGGCTGTATGGTCTTCATGGTCAAATGCCCAGAAAGCATGATTTGAGGAGCCATTTGTATATGGTCACATGAACATGGAATAGCCTAAAGGTAGGTTCTAAGACCTAGTGTCAGGCAATGGAAGTTTTCTTAAGACTGGCTTTGAAATGTCAAACCTGGTTCTGGGAATCTATTACAGGCCTGATGGTGTGTACTGCAACATAACTTTCGTGGTTTATTTGAGATGACTAGGAGGTCACCCTCAGCTAGCTTCCTACCATTAGATTAATGTAATCCCAGATAATTTTACTTAAAATTATTTCTGTATGTGCTATTTTCAAGGGTAAGATATATGAAATATGAAAGCCGCTATGGTACTTTTATCACACCTGAGACACTAGTTCTAATTTCTTAATATCAAATGTCTACTCATTGTCAGTGTTTCTCTGCACATGCTGTAATATGTGCGTGCGTGTACATGTGTGCATGTATGTATGGAGGCCAGGAGTGGACACCAGGTATCTTCCTCAGTTACTTTTTATATTTGGAGACAGCTCTCTTTGAGCCTGGAACTGCCTGATTCTGCGACACTGGCTGGCCAGTGAGTCCAGGGATGTCCCTGTTTTCTCCTCTCAGGCCTGGGGTTGTAGGAATGCTCTGCTCTGCCTGGCCTTTTACACGGGTCCCTGGGTTCTGACTCAAGGCCTCTCATACTCATGCAGCAAGCACTTGGAGCTGTTTCCTAGACCCACTATGTTACAAGTTTTAGAATCCCCCCCCCCATGTTAACGGAGGTCTAGGTAGCTAGCACATCGTTAATATATCTTTTTAATATATGGATTACCTTCTTTCTGCTCTTCCTAATTCATTCTTGTTACAAGAAAGCATTATCAATTGTCGCTTTATCAGCTGGAGTTACTGACGCTCTCTGCTGATGGTTTGGCATGGTCCTTGCTGTTACATTTCCTGGTGGTTCAGCTCAGATCAGAGGAGGTCCTTTGGGTGAGAATAAGACTCTGAAGCAGTGGTGGTGTACTCTAAGCAAGGCCTGCCAGCCGGGTCAGGACTGTGGAGCAGTGGTGGTGTGCTGTACTGTAGACAGGACTGTGGAGCAGGGGTGGTGTACTGTACTGTAGGCAGGACTGTGGAGCAGTGGTGGTGTACTGTACTGTAGACAGGATTGTGGAGCAGGAGTGGTGTACTGTACTGTAGGCGGGGTCTGCCAACCAGGGCCATCTTGCAGGTGCTGGGTGAGTAGCCATGGTGTTCACAGAGTTGAGTCACTAACTCACCAGGGATGAAAGTACAATGCTATTTTAATTCTGTCTTTTCTTCTACAAATAGGTTTGTGATTACTCTAAAGGGGAAACTTCCATTTATTTGCTCTGAAGTAGCTGTTATAGAGGAGATATGGGATGTGTTTTTGATTTGCTTTTTTAGGGTTTCTCACAACGTGGTAGCTGGCCTTCCCCATCACCAGGGCTTTAAGAGAAGGGACAAGCATAAGGAGACAGCCAGGAAGATAGAAGTTACAGTCTTTTGCAATCAGCCCCAGGTTACTTGGGCTTTCTGTGTTCTAGTCATTGGAAGTGACTCTCCAGGCTCAACCTACAGCAAGCGGAGGGGAGCTCAGAGGGTGTGAGCACTGGGACCATCCTCGGTTGTTTGGGGACTTGCCTTCCATCAGGCCTAGTGATCTCTAGTGGCCCTGCTTTCTTGAGAAGGTTTAGGTATTTAGATTGAATAATTTCTTTAAGAAGCCCTGAGTTCTTTTTCTGGCAAATGGTGTTTAGAGCCTATTCTTTGACCAGATGATTCTAGATCTTTTCAGTAGGCAGAACTAGGGAGTTATGTATCCCTTATCTGAAATGTTTGGGAATTAGATGGGTTTCAGAATTTAGATTGTTTGAGATATTGAAATGTTAGCATCTACGGAGTGAAATAGCTTGCAAGTTGGACCTGAGACTAATCATGAGATTCACTTAAAGGTAGTTTTGTATAATATTTTCATGTGTGCCTGCCACATGAGGTCAAGTGTGAAATTGTCACTTGTGGCATCATGTCAGGGTTCATAAAGCTTTCTAGTTTGGAACATTTTGGATTTTAGATTTTCAGTTAGGAATGTGCAACCTGTATTTTTTCCTCTCAGTCCCTTTTCCTCTCCCTCTTTTTCTTCCTCTCCCCCTCCCTTTATTTCTTTAAATATAGGTTATAGTTCATGCTGTTATTTCCCATTCAGAATCCATATCTCATCCATCTTGTGTTTGTGTTCATTTTTAATCTACTAGGTCTACTGGCAGTAGCTCTCAGTGATTCCAGCATAAGTATTCATGAATTATCTCACAATATACAAATAAAAATCTTAGAATGACCACCAGAGATAACTGATTCTGTCACATTGTGTAGTCAAAATCCTCCCTGCCCTGTGGAAATGTTCTTCCACTGTAGTACAAAGTTTGATTCATTATTTTCAACTTCTTTTGAATTTTAGATTGTTTAAACAAGTTTATTTTGAATTCTTTAATATTCAGAGAGTCTTGCTCTTGTTATTGCCTTCTCTCCAATTTTCTTCTTTATCCATATGTAGCCTTTTGAAAATGACTAAGGTTGTTCTTTTGCTTTCTACATACAAGTAATATCATTGTACATACATTCTCTTTGGACTTGGGATGGGATTTTGTCCCTAAGCCTATTATAAGTTAAGAATACAATAAATCAATTCTCTGGGTATATTTAACCTGCAGAGCCTTCCAGTTTGTTAACACAGTACAATGTGTTGTGTATGCCACAGGGTATGTGTTATTCCCCTTGTGATTTCATGGTCAGCTGGCATCCATATCTTGCTGCTGCTGCTACCGCCTGGCATCACTGGAGAGTACTGGATTATATATCACTAGCCTAGGAAATGATGAAACTTCAGAACTGAAGTTAGGATTAGTGCTGAATGTCTATTACTTTCTCTCCAGAGTATAACATGCTAAAATCAGATCATAAAAGGTGAAGACTGCCTTAAATCACGTGTCCTGGTGACCATTCCACAATGTTGTCCAGAGATGCTTTTCATTTCTTTATATTGGTAATTGATAATTCTTTAATATAGGTAAACAATATTTTTTTCTTGTTGAGATGTGGTCTCTCTTATATAGTCCAGGCTGTTCTTGAATTCATGGTCTTCCTGCTGGGATTACAGACCCTTGCTACCTAGTATGTAGAGTTGTTCTAGAGAACTATGCTATTCAGAATTTCCCTGACTTCCTGATTATTGCTTTGTAAGAAGTACAATTCCCAGTGAATCTAGCAAGATGATCAGAGGAGGGGCAGAGCCCTGGCTGCTCCTGGGAGCAGCCCACAGTTGTGGCCATCCCAGCTTTTGCCTTGGTTTTCATCCAGGCTGGTAGTGCTGCCTTCTGCATGCTCAGCTCTTCACGGTGCCTGGCATTTTTGTTGCTGACTTGTCTTACAGTTAGAAACTCTTCCAGATTTTGACAGCACATTTTTGTTAGTCATAGTTTCTGATGGTGGCATCTGTGTCATGTGTCTTCATGTTTATAGCCTTAGCAAGGATTTGGGAACAGTGCTGTCTGGGATTACTTTTCAGATGTCATTTAAAATCAAAGACCCTTTTGTGAAAAACAGATGAAACAGGTTTATTTCAAAATAATCTATTGTCTCCTAACCCATACTGCTTTATATATGTTTCAGAGAAAAGGACCTGGAAGCCAAGTTTATCATTCAAATGGAGAAAAGCAAAACGACAATCACAAACTTAAAGGCAAGTGATGGCCCTGCCCTGCTGTAGTTCTGAGAGCTCCATACTTGCCCCCTGGGAGGGTGGTACAGGTGACTGAAGCACCTGACCCTTCTGTACCCCGAGTTGACTGCCCTAACTCGGTGCAGTTAGCAGTGTCGGTATGCTCTCTGCTGAGGCTCAGTCCTGAAGCTGAAGCACTGGTCTGATCCTGGTGCCTTTCCTGCCCTGGTTTTATCTGACCTGAAAGTCTAACTCAAGCTGTTTCTCTGCTCTGTGAGTTCCTATGGTAGACAAGGACCTGGCATTTCTACCCTATATTCCAGCCTTATAGTTGTCTGTATTCTGTGATGTACTGGACACATCTTGAGACAGGATTTGTTTATTTTGAGAACAGGATCTTAGGTAACCCAGGCTGGCCTCAAACATGGATTGCTGTGGGATAAATGGTCTGTACCCTGTTACTTGTATTTTAAATAAATGCTGATTGGCCAGTAGCCAGGCAGGAAGTAGAGGCAGGGCAACAAGAATTCTGGGAGGAGGGAAGTTTCAGTCTGCAGTTGTCACCCAGACAGAGAGGAAGCCAGTCATAGAGCAAGCAAGATGTGACTGCCTCACTGAAAAAGGTACCACGCCACAAGATTAACATAGACAAAAATTATGGGCTAATATAAGTTATAACAACTAATGAGAAGCCTGAGCTACTAGGTCAACCAGTTTATAATTAATGTAGTCCTCTGTGTGTTTCTTTGGGACTTAATGACTGTGGGAACCAGGCAAGACAGGAAACCACAGTCAACATTGGATGAATATGACCTTGAACTTCTGATTCTACTGCCCCTATCTCCTCAGTGCTAGGATTGTATATGTGTACCATGTCATACCTGGTTTATGCAGTGCTAGGGATCAAATCCAGGTCCCCATGTATGCTAGGCAGACACTCTTAACAACTGAACTGTATCCCCTGTTCTTTGTTTTGATTTTTTAAAATGAGAATCCATCATGTATTCTGATCTTTGATGATCTGACAACTGTTGTTTATTATTAGCTGAAAGCAATGAAAACTTAAAAAGGAAGTGATAAAACTGCATACTTTCTGGAAAAAAGTAGACGAAAAAACTTCATAATCTTTCAAAATGGTAAATTATTCATTTTTCCTTTAAAATATACTATTTATTTCATTAGCACTCTGGATGAGGATCTTGAATGCTTTCCACTCAAGGAGGGAGCACGGTTATAAAAGTAACACAAAAGACATCATGTGCTTTTAGGGCTTAGTGCCCTTCAGTATGGAGGTAACGGTTTCTGAGTTCTACTGCTCCATGGCCAAGTGCACTATTAATTGATTTCTATTAACTCATGGTCCCAAGCAGTGGCTACTCTTAAGATTGCTTTCTAGGTAGTACAACTTGATCCCCAGAAACAGGAATGGGAATGGTACTACTTTCCCAGGGAGCATGTGTTGGGGTGTGGGTATCCGTTTGCTTGAGGAGTTCTATACTAGAATGCTTTCCTCCCATGCTTATCAGAGTCTTCAGCACAACATGACTCTCTCTGGCCTAGCCTGAGCCTTTTTTCTTTGACTTGCATCATCTTCTCAGGCTGGTTCAGTTCTGTCTACCTCCTTCCTGTAGCGACCTTTTCTTTGCTTCATGCATCTGTGTGCTCATAGTGCTTTGGCTGAATCCTTTTTTTTGTTTTGTTTTTTTTTTTTTGTTTTTTTCGAGACAGGGTTTCTCTGTGGCTTTGGAGCCTGTCCTGGAACTAGCTCTTGTAGACCAGGCTGGTCTCGAACTCACAGAGATCCGCCTGCCTCTGCCTCCCGAGTGCTGGGATTAAAGGCATGCGCCACCACCGCCCGGCTGGCTGAATCCTTTTTGCATGTATATCATGGAAGCTATTTTCCTTGATTTACTCTGTTGCTTTTTGTGTTTTATACATATTTCTTTATATGATAATTGAGTAACTAGAATAGATGTCAACTCTATCTATCTATCTATCTATCTATCTATCTATCTATCTATCTATCTATCTATCTATCTATCATCTTCCATCCATTATCTATCTATCTTTAAAATATAATCCACTGTGTCCAGTTTGTACTCCCTCTTTCCTCATGGTTGTAGGATCATTGGAACATGATCTACCTACCAGGGGCTACGCCATTAAAGAAAATAGACATTCAGCCATCAACTGTTGGTAGCTCCTAAAGAACCCCTTGTCCTCCTGGCTGGGATGTTGATGGGCTTGATCTTGTACAGGTCTTAACAGCTAGCTATAGCTGTGTGAATGCAGTGGTCTGGTCCTGTCCTGTCTAGAAGACATTGTTTCACTCAACCTCTGGCTCTTGAAATCTTTCTGTGCTTTTTCTGTACTGGCCACCGAATCTTCTGGGGAGGGCATGTGGTATAGACATCCCATTTGGGGCTGAATACTCCATAGATATCTTTTCTCTGTGTGTTTGTTGATCAGTTGTGAGTTCCTGTGTTAACCACCATTCACTGAACAAAGAAACTCCTCTGAAAATATCTGAGAAACAAACTAATCTGTGGATATAAAAATATAAATTTAGAAGATAGTTTGATAGTGTGTACATTTAGCAAAAGTGATAGTAGTAGGTTTTACCCCTAGGGTCTGTGAGCACACCAACTTGGGGTTCATGTCCAGCTTTACTATACCAGCCATGCATTTCCTTCTGTGGAGTGGCCTTAAATCCTATCAGTGGTTGGTCACCTCCGTAATATTTGTGTCACTATTGCACCTATGGGAAATGCTCATTTTTAATATACTGTTGTTTTAATTGTTTTTTTTTTAAACAATTTGTTTAAAAAAGAAGTCAATTATTAAAAAGTACACTGTTCATTGAAGCTAGTCAGCATTATGTCTAAGGTATAAGGTTCTGGGAACATATGAATGGTTTGTGGGTTTAATTTAAACTCAGAGGATGGAACATCTGCAATAGCCTCAATATATCTTAGGAGAGTTCTCATTCAGAAAAGTGGGGGAAATTATTTCTTGATGGATTATTGGGGAAGCTTCATGGAAGTAGAGACATCTGACTTGAAGTTTTCAAGAGGCTACCAAATCACACAGCTCCAGAGGGCACTGCTTTTGCCAGAATCAGTGTCCAGCACCTTTGAAGTTGTATTACGTCCAGTTTTGGGGGGCCATCATAGAGGAAACAGTCAAATAAGCAGACAGAGTCTGATTGGGCATTGTGTTCATGTAAGATATTATATTAGTAAAGACTAGCTGATGGTTATAATATAGATCCTGGACTTCTCATGTTGTATTTATTTATTTTATTCATTCTTTAGGGAGACTTATAGGAATTAAGTGTTGATTAGTGTTTATGTGCTGCAAACATTAATCATTTTATGTTTTTTTAGTCACAGATTTTGTCTCCTAATTTGGGTTGCTTGTTAAATGACATTACACTTTATGTTATTGTTATTACCACCTCATTTTCTTATTATTATTGTCAAAATTGTCTTTGTAGATACCAGAAGGAGGCACTGGGGACTCAGGCAGAGAACGGACCAAGACCTTCACTTATGACTTCTCTTTTTACTCTGCTGACACCAAGAGTCCAGATTATGTTTCACAAGAAATGGTACAGTGTGACAATCTCAAAATCTTCTTGTTTGTTTGTTTGTTTTTAATTCAGGAAAAACAGTCTTGCCCTAAAGCACTTAAAAGAAATTTACTACTTTTTTTGCCAAATTTAATTTATATAAAATTAGCATTTGGTAACTCAGCTTTTTTTTCTTTTTTTTGTGTGTATATGTCATTTTTTATTATTATTGCAATTATTGAGCTATACAGTTTTCTTTTCTCTCCTCCCTTCCTCTCCCCTCCTCTTCAACCCTCTCCCGTGGTCCCCGTGCTCCCAATTTACTCAGGAGATCATGTCTTTTTCTACTTCCCATGTAGATTAGATTCATGTATGTCTCTCTTAGGGTCCTCATTGTTGTCTAGGTTCTCTGGGATTATGAGTTGTAAGCTGGTTTTCTTTGCTTTATGTCTAAAAGCCAGTTATGCGTGAGTATATATAATATTTGTTTTTCTGGGTCTGGGTCACCTCACTCAATATGATGTTTTCTAGATCCATCCATTTGCCCACAAATTTCAAAATGTCATTACTTTGTTTTTCTGCTGTGTAGTTCTCTATTGTGTAATTGTACCACATTTTCCTTATCCATTCTTTAGTCAAGGGGCATTTAGGTTGCTTCCAGGTTCTGGCTATAACAAACAATGCTGCTATAAACATAGTTGAGCACATGTCCTTGTGATACGATTGAGCATCCTTTAGGTATATACCCAAAAGTGGTATTGCTGAATTTTGAGGAAGGTTGTTTCCTAATTTTTTTGAGAAATTGCCATACTGATATCCAAAGAGGCTGTATCAGCTTGTACTCCCACCAGAAATGGAAAAGTGTTCCCTTTACCCCACATTGTCTCCAGCAGAAGCTGTCACCAGTGTTTTTGATCCTGGCCATTCTTACAGGTGTAAGATGGAATCTCAGAGTTGTTTCGATTTGCATTTCTCTGATGGCTAAGGATGTTGTAACTCAGCTTTTTAATTATCAATGGAAATGTTTATATAATTCGGATAATCCAATCTTCTAAAGTTTTTTTTTTGTTTTACCATAACAAATCATAACTGGAATGGTTTCAGAACTGTAACATTGATCTCATAGTGAGAGGTTCAGATGCAACATTTGATGTTGGGAATGTGACATTTGTATACTTAAGTCTTGCAAATAAACCCCTTAGCCTTGAGTCCTCCAGGGGTCAGAGCATAGGAGATAAATATCAAACTAAAGCCACATTTTGTCTGCTTTTGTGGATCGTTACAAGCGATAGAAAGAATTCTAGAAGGAGTGCTTCTCCAGAATGTACAACCGAGACTGATTCTAGTATTTGCTCAAGAAACAAATAGAGATGTTGTCCACACAGGTGAGAACAAGGTACTCTTAGATGAACTTCAAGACACTGATTGTGACATTTCATTAGAGCAGAAACACAAACATATACTCCTGCATGGGCAAAAGCAGGACATTGGAGCAGAGCTGAGGGCACACTAGCACAGGTGGAAGAACATGGGCTTCAGTGCTAATTGAAGTAGAGCATTGGACTTCATCACTGGGCCTTTCCCTGTCTTCTCAGTACTCCCTTACATATCATAGGTACTTATTTCAGCTCTTCTTATGCTAGCGTGGATGTTCTTGACCTTGGTTGTAGTCCTAAAAACTAGAGCATGAAACACCAGTGTGGTTTTGCATCAGAGTTGGTGGTATTGCCTGGGAATGGGTAAGAATGTAAAATCTCAAGATCACCACTACCACCAACCCCTACCTGCATGTTGAGATTAGATGTGAGCCACCATACCCAACTCAGAATCATCTATCTATCTATCTGTCTATTTATCTATCCATCCATACATGTAATATAATCATCTATACATACACATATATATGGATACATGTATATGTATATATATGAAGATAGATTATTCTCTATATATGGATATTTATCTATATGTATACATATATGGATAGATGATTCTGTCTGTGTATCTATCTGTCTATCTATCTATCTATCTATCTATCTATCTATCTATCTATCTAATCTTTTGGGGAAGATCTGCAGTGTTTTGCATGTACTTTTACATTCAAGAATGTATCTGGTTTAGAAGTGGTTTGTGGAGGAGAGCCTGACCTTTAGAGGCAGTGCAGTTGTTGAGGTTGGAGATCTGCAGTGATTGTATCCAGAAGATCTGCAGTGATTGTATCCAGAAGCAGTGGATTCACACATCAGTAATGGGGAAGGGACAATTAAACCATAGAAAAAGGAGTTGAAGAGAAACTGATATTTGGGTTTGTCTTGAGTCAGACATGCTTAATATTCTATTGTGTTAAAGCCTCCAAAGAACCAAACAAGGTGAATTTTGACTCCAGTTTTCTTTATCAGGACGTTCAGTGAACTTTAGCAATTTATTCAAGTTCGTAAGCAGATTGCCACTCAATAGGGTGAGAGCTGAGCGTGGTGCTGATGTGAGGGGAGGCGGGGTTACCCACTGGAGAGTTTTTGTGTGGGAGAAAAGGAATTATTTCTGCTCGAGGTGAGAAGAGAGGACAGGTGATGAGTGAGAGAGTGAGGATGACTTTGGGTTCAGGGTGGCTGGTCTGTCTACACTGATAGTGAGGAGTCTGGCGTAGAAGACTGTGGTTGTGGGACCCAGATTGATGCTCTGTTGCACATATGGGAATTAAGTGACAGGAACTAGAATTTTAAGGGGAAACCCAGTTTATTGTAGTGATCTCCAGAATGTCTTCAAACATAGGGTGAATGAAAAGCCTTGAAAGATCTACATTTTTAACCTATTTAATGAACAATTGGATGTCGTTGTTTTACTTGAATTTGAAGTCTTTGGGAACAGTGGACTACACAGAGGGATGGAGAGCATTGTGTGACCACAGGACCTGGCTGGGAAATGTTTACTTTGAAAATGGTTAATTTGTGGGAGCAGGTGGTAACTTTCTGGGCTGTACAGTGGTCAGGGTGAGGGATGTAAAAACAAATGTATCTCTTCTCCCTGGAGGCTAAAATTCTATGTCCAGAGTTTAAAGAGAGATCTAGATTGTGCAAAACTTTCTGCCCACAAGGAAAATGCCATGCTTCATTTCTTCTTTGTGCTACGGGAACTCTTACAGAGAGTAACCTGGGATTGTTCTGTGGAATTTCCAAACTACATACTACTAAGCCATGCTAATAAGCCATCATAGATGCAGAAAGAGCAGTTAGTTATCTGTAAAATAGAAAGCTATTCCCTCTCACTCCTTATTTTAGCACTCATGTGAAGATTTCAGTGTTGTCTACACAGCTCTTGCGGCTGCTGGTGAGGGGTGAGGTAAGAGAGTGGTCATGAAGCCAGCACAGTGCTCGCTCTGTCTTTCCTCTTATGCTTTAGTCAGTTAAGTTTAAAAGTATATTGAGAAAATATATCATGTCCACGAATATAAAGTTTCCTTTGAGTCTAAAAACAAGCCATCATTTTAGAATTAGGAAAAAAAATCAATGAGCAACTTAAACCCACAGTCTTGTAAATTAAAGACCATTAAATACGGTCTTAATTTTCTTAATGGTTCTTCAAAACTCCAACGGGAGGCTTTGATCTTTCTCATACCCCTTACTTTTTAATTCACCCTGGAGAAACTTAAAACCATTGATCTCCCAGTTGCCAGGCTTGCTAGTCGTGTCTTTGTTTCAACAGTGCCCTCCTGTGGCTGATTCCCCACTGTCAAGGCCGTGGGAGAGCTTGGGTCACCTTTGAAAGGAGCTTAAAACATTTCCACACATAGCAAGATTGGGGTAACTGGGCTAGTGAGGGTTTGGTGCTAATAGATTCATCGGTCTCTTGATATGGTAGCAGATGCCAAATCAGTGGCTGGTGGGAGTGTGCCAGGGGAGCCTCTGGAGAAGACGACAGTGCCTGTTTCTGTATTCCTGTCTGTCTATGATGGGTCGGTTGGTTGGTGCTGAGGCTGAGCTAGACCTGGTGTCATCTGCAGACCTACATGCTCTCTATCTGTCCTACCATTGCACCTACTGGGGTTCATGAGTCTGTCAGAAAGCCACCCACTTGTAAACAGAGTAATAACATAGGAGTGTCCTTGGTTTGGTTCAAGGCCTCTGGTTTCTGGTACGCCATCATCACTGGATCTTTACCTGAACTCCCCTGGGATAACTTGCTGCCACCCTTGTGTTTATCATTCCACAGGACCAGTCCCTTCACGAGTTCCAGCAGGTCCTAGATGGGGTAGATGTTAGGGTGGGCCAACCCGAGGCCTGGTTGTGGTACTGGGTGGTAGCTGAGGTGGTCAGTCCTGGCCACTGGGGCATCCACCTCAGGCAAGGGGGCGGAGCCAGCTTCCCTACTGCCAAGTCAAGCAGGCTAGGTTATCCCTGGCCTGTGGTGAGGGGTGGGGACATCTCTCCCAAGGGTAGAGATCAGTTGTCCCACGGAGCTCTGGGTCAGTTTTCCCAGGGCCAGCAAAAGACGGGGCCAGGTTGTGGAGACATTTGAATTTGATTTAACTGTTTTCTGTGATTTATTTGTCTAAGTTATGAGGAATGCCCCTTTCCTATTTTCTGAATTGTCTGTGGAAGACTTTCTGTTTTTGCTCCAATCTGAGAGAATTAGAGAAATAGAATTTTTACTTGTAGTTCATATGTATTAGTGAAAGGAGACCCAAGCCCATGATCTAGATCCCTGAGTCTCCCTGGGGTTCTAGCTTCACAGAAGTTTGGGGATACATCCTTCCAGCTAGCACCAGGGTCTCGTGAATTTAGAGGATGTGGCCATGGCCCTGTAATGAGGTGCAGCCTCAGGTCTGCCACTCACTGGCCAGGGTCTGATCTGACCTTCCCCGCCAGCTTCCTCATCTGTGGGGTTGTGAGCATTGTCCCCGTTGAATTACTACATGAACCTGTGACAGTGCCCAGGAAATGTGAACTGCTGTCACGGCTGTGTATTGAATAAGTCCATAGACTCTGACAATACAATAAAAAATAACAGTGTCTAAAGCTGAAATGGGTAAAAATGAACTGAGAATAGGTGGCTGTAGTCATTTGTGGAAGAACTTCAGTTGGAATTATAGTTAGCAAAGTTTTACTGATGTATCTGAAGGAATTGTGAACAGGATGGAGGGAGAAAGCCCGAGTCCATTTAGCTGTATGTGTGTGGCAGCTGAACTGTCCGCAGACTTTGCTGTGATCAGGGATACAATATTCACTTGAGAAGTTTTGTAGTGTACTGATTCCTGGGTTCACACAGAGAGTCATATTTCACTGGACGGTGTTGCTGGCCTGGCCACTGGGACTCTTGAGAGCTCTCCAGGTAATCTCATGGCCACCATAGCCTAGGGTTTGCTGCCCTGGGTAGTTTGGGGGAAAGAGCTTTCTGGATCTCCTGGTTTTGACTCAGAGGGCTCAGCGCTGTGGGAGTCCCCATCTTGTACTGTGGTCATCCCAGTTGCTCACTTCCCCCAGCTCTGGCATCTCTAGCTGCCAGAATGCCCTTCCTTTTTGTAGCAGAGATGTTTGAGGGAGCCTTGGTATGCTGGATTTAGAGGACATTGAGATATCACCAAATTTTAATCTGTCTCGTTTACATTAGCTGTGCTCCTGGGGCATTTGTGCGTCATCCTCTACCCCCCAAACAGCAGTTAAGTGGGGTCTGGGACAGAAACCCAGGTTGTGAATGTGCCCCACTTGCCTCCCCTCCATGTCTACAAGTATTTGAACAAGTATCTAAACAGAAAATACTCCAGGACCTAGTAATGAGAGAGCCCTGCCATTCACCACCCTGCCCCCAGCACTCTGCTACCCCAGGTCTCCTCCAGACTCATCTTGAGGAACAGACACTGGCCCTGAGATATGAAGACTTTGATTTGGCAGGATTCAGACAATAATTTCTGGCTACTGTGACTTTGAGGTTTTGAATATTAATTTCTGGAGGCTCGGATAAGATGAATAGCTTGACACAATATGCAGTTCTGAATTTTAACATCTTGGGTTAAAATCTTTGCTTCTAGACACAATTGCCACTTGGCCTTGCTTACATTTATATTTCAGAAATCATTTGCTAGCGTAAGTAGGAAAAAGGACGGTCTTGCTTTTTGCTTGCTTGGAGAGTTTACTTTTGATTAAAAACTGGGGTGCATACATATTCTGTTGTTACAGCTCGGCAGTGATTTATTTTTATGCTGTAATCTCTAAAGATGAAAGTAACATTCACGAATATTGTCAACACTGCAGGGACTTTTATTGAAATCCACAGTACTTGCATTCTTTGTGTTAATATATATGCATATATATTTTTTTCTTTTAGGTTTTCAAAACTCTGGGCACAGATGTCGTGAAATCTGCCTTTGAAGGTTATAATGCTTGTGTCTTTGCATATGGGCAAACTGGATCCGGAAAGTCCTACACTATGATGGGAAATTCTGTATGTTGTTTAGTTGTTTATGTGCTGTGTGGGAAGGAAATTTCTTGTTATCTTTCTCTGGAGTGATAAAATTATCTCTTATCTACTAGGTCTGCACCAACTCTTCCTGTTCTTATCTTCCTTTAGTAATAAGATAAAACTCAGTATTAAGTTGAAGTAAATTTCCTTGGAGAGATTTGAAATTAGAAATAGTTTTACGTTATAAGCACGAATAATGGGTGCAAGTCCCAGTTCATTTCTCCTTTTAAAGGCCTTATAATCTTATCAAGAAAGTAATTTATTCTTCTTTTCTGCCAGCATAACAGTTTGAATAAAATTACCAAAATCTGTTCTTTTTAAAATTATTCATAACGTTTTCCCTAAGAATAGTGTAAAAAGGAAAATCTAATTTTTGATGGAAAGGTGTTACATAAGTCCAGCAAATGCACGAGAAGTTGGCATTGCAGAGCCCTCACGGCTTACATGTTATAAACACAGCTTAGTCACTAATCCATGGAAACTAACGGCCACTGTGTTGTATTTGCCCCGGAACCTGGAGAAGTGACATGTAGATACAGTGAATTTGGACATCATGGCATGCACTTGTAATCCCAGCTTCTTGGGAGGCTAATGTAGGATGATTGCAGACTTCAGACCAGCCTGAAGAGCTTAGGAACTGGGAATGCAGCTTCATAGCTCAGGAGTAGAACTCTAACAACACACCGAACAAACAAACAAAAAAAGCAAAAACAACCCACAAAAAAGTACTTAAGACTTATACAGTGATACATATTTGTTTACTTTTTCCTGCAGCAGCAAAAACTGCTCAAAATGGCCAAACCTGTGGCGTGTTCTAAATGTAGACACTGTGAGTGGCTTTAGGGCCCCTTGCCAGCAGGCACAGTGGTATCTTCAGTGCTCAAGAGTTGGTGGTCATGAAAGCATGTTATTGGAGGAGAACAGATCTCTAGGACATCATTTCAGTGACTGGAACCTGGCTTCTCAAATACAGACTTCGTGTTTACATGGGAAATATGGCATTGAGCTGTATGCCGTCTGGAAGGCAGGAAGAACAAGGGAGGGAGAGAGCACACCTCAAATTTCCCATTTCACTTTAACCACCATTTTTCTCTTCTTGGTTTTCTGCTGAACTTTAGGGAAAAAACTCTAAAAATGAATTTTGCGTGTCAGTTTTCCACTAGCTACTTTATATAAGACTTTACAGAGCACTCCTAAGTGGCAGGTGCTTTTTCTCTGCCCTTGTAGATAAGTACAGCCTCAGTATTCCACTTATGTATTATAAAGTAAGAATGAAAACTTGTGGTGGAAGTACCAGTTTTCCCTGGTAGCAGCTTGTACCCAAAGAGAAAAATACCTTAAAGCTGTGCCCATGGTAGTTCTTAAATTAAATTGAGGGGGGAGTTGAGTGGAGGTAGAAAAGGACTGCCTAAGAATGCATGGGTGCTCTGAGGTCTGGGTTTCCTAGGGAGAGCATTTTGCCTGATACACAGTGTCTTGGTTTGGGTACTGTTACTATGATGAAACAGCATGGCCAAAAGCAGGTTGAATGGGGGCAGGGTTTATTGGGATTACACTTCCACATTGCCAGAAGCCAGGACAGGAACTCAAGCAGAGCAGGAAACTGGAGGAAACTGATGAAGAGGCCCACGGAGGAACGCTGCTTACTGGTTTGCTTCCCATGGATTGTTTATTTCTTATAGGCCTAGGACCACCAGCCCAGGGTTGGCCCCACCCACAATGGACTGGGCCCTCCTCCATCACTAATTAAGAAAATACCCTTGTTTGCTTAGAGCCTGATCTTATGGAGGCATTTTCTCAATTGATGCTCCCTCCTCTCAGATTACTCTAGTTGGTGTTAAATTACACAGAACTAGCCAGCCCACAGAGTGTTGCTTGCAGCCTTGCTCGTGCGTACTGAACTATGATTATATACCCACATCGCTTCGTGATATGGTGGATTTGCTCTTCCTAAGAGGAACCATGCAGGGATTGGTTCTACCAAAGGAAGCCTGTCTTCCATAGTTTAACATTCTCCTGCCACCTACATTTTAAGATGCCTATCTGGAGGATTCTGTAAAGTTTTTTTTGGGGGGGGGGTATGTATTATCCCTGCTTTGTTACTTAACCAGATATTTTTAAGATTTATTCTATATTATAAACCATATTCTTTGGTAGAGAACAAGTCTCCTTATCCTTCAAACCAGTGTTAGCTGGTTTAACATCAAATAAACACGTATTCTCCCAATCATAGCAGTTAGAAATTAGAAGACATTATCCTTTCATTTCAAAGTAAGAAGCAGTCCTAGAGGGGCTCTTGTGGAAGGTTTGGGCTTGGCACCCAGGCCGCTAGAGTCCATGTCTAGTTTGCATGATGGTTGTGACACCCTTCGTCTCCATTTCAGGGTGATTCTGGTTTAATACCTCGGATCTGTGAAGCGCTCTTCAGTCGGATCAGTGAAACCACCAGATGGGATGAAGCCTCTTTCAGGACGGAAGTCAGGTAGGGCTTCGACCTGAGGTATAAAGTTTGGAGGGCCCCAGGCTGCTTGTCTTGTGCAGAGGTCTTGGAGAGGGAAGGGTGAGACTGCAGACTGCTGAGGAATAGCCGGCCCCCTCCTCACCTGAACTTAATGTTAGTTAGGAATAGAACTAAGACCACTTGGACATGATTTGCATGTGAAGTAGCATTGCTTGATGGGAGCTTTGGCATTTATTCTGTTTATCTCAAGTGGAGTGAGCCCTTGACTTTCATGAGCACATGCAGTCGTCTTACTCTTGACTAAGCCATATCTGTGTTCCTCACCTGTCACCCTCATGTCAGTCAAGGTCACAGAGTACCTTTCCCTTTCTGTTGCTGAGTCTCTCCAGGGTCCACCTGTAGTGCTAAGAGCCACTGGGACTCTGGACAAGTTATTGAAAGTCTCCCGGACCTCTCTTGTCATATCTGTAAAGTGGGGTGATGAAGTACCCACCTTTGGGCCATTACAAGGACTCAGTGACATGCTTCTTGCAAAGCACACAGCAGAGGCCTTTGTGGCTGCTGTTGCCGTGCATGTTGTGCTTGTTATTAATAATGTCTTAAAAGCATTGTTTTTCTAAAATTTGTTCTATTTAAAATTTTTAGCTACTTAGAAATTTACAACGAACGCGTGAGAGATCTACTTAGGCGGAAGTCATCTAAAACCTTCAATTTAAGAGTCCGTGAGCATCCCAAAGAAGGGCCTTACGTTGAGGGTAAGAAGGAAGTTCCTTGTCTTCAAACACTCCCCTGCTCTCCCTTGGGAGGCTGTAAAAATGAAAAGTACAGAACTGTGGTGATGGTAAGAATTTAAACAGTTGTTTACTTTTGGAATTTTATTAGTGTAAAGGTGACAGGAGCTGCCACTTTATACCATTCGTTCTGTGAATCTGTACTTCACTAGGTATTCACTAGGTTATTCTGTGAGACCTATGCATTATTTCCCTTTGGCTTAAAAAACTGTCTGGAAATTAGTTTTCCCATCCACACCCACCACTGCACCCTGGAAATCTGTGTGTCTCAGTGGGGATGCATTTTACTACGATAGGTACTTTCCCTGACCGTATGGTGGTGGGTGGAAGAAGGTAGTCTCAGGCCTTTTGTTTGTCAGAAGAGTTCTCATAGATGGTCTGTCTTGGTTCTTGGCATCTGTGTTTGATAGGATAACTATGGTGGACTGGGTACCTACCTCTATAGTGTTAGGCAGGGTCTGGCAGACAGTGAATGAATTCACCCTTTAGATTCAAATAAGAACCATATTTCACTGAGTATAGTACAAGGGCACTGCAGGCTGACAGATAGCTGGAGAAGCACATGGATGTGCTGTGGAGATTGCCATTTAGAAATACTTTTATGGTTTGGATGAGTTTCTCTGTGTGCAGTTTCTTAGCATGTAATTTATGCCATATGAAGGAATTCAGTTCATCCTGGGTTAAGTGCAGGTCTGGGAGGTTAGCATGAGCCTCTGTGCATATAACTTTCAGTATGTGCAATTAATAGCCATGTAAACAAAGGTCATGCAGTAGCCAGGCAAACCAGGGTCATGTAATAGCTGTGCAAACCGGCGCCATGCAATAACCGTGCAAACCAGGGTCATGTAGTTAAGGTCAGTCTTGGTTAAAGGATCTGGGCACCATCTCTGGGATGCAGCTCTGTGATGTTAAGCTACAGCTTTCTGATGTGAGTACTTTGGGGTTCCTGGGCTATGATTGTAAAAAATCATTAATGTTCTGGTCTCTTCCTAGTGGCCCTTCCCCCAACACTAACTGAGGCACAGCCAGTCAATGGAGGGCGTTGCATTTAATGTGGTGTAGAGAACTGGCCCTTGCCAGGCTGGCTGTGACAGTTAATCTTTTTGTCAACTCTATGGGATTTTTGAATTACCATGGAAACAAATCTCTGGGCATGTTTGTGAGGAATTATCTAGATTTCTTTAGTTGAGATAGAATAGCTTCACCCTAATGTGGTAGCACCAGTCCATGTTTTAGGGACCCAGGCTGAATAAAGCTGAACACAAGCATTCATGGTTCTCAGCTTCCTGATTATGGACATAACGTGACTAGTGACTAGGTGCTTCCTAGTTCTGCCGTTATGCCCTCCCCACTGTGGTTGACATGTGTGTCTCCTCTTTCACTGTGAGCCAAGATAATCCTTTCCTCCATTAAATCATGTTGCCAGGTATTTTTGATCACAGCAGTGAGAGAAGTAATGAATACACAAGGTTTCAGGTCATGCATGTTAGGAGGCTAGTTTTGCTTCCCTAAGGGAGCTGTGTAACTGCTGGGGGAGTAATCTAATTGCTAATGGAATCATGATTTCTTATGGTATCATCCATGAAGCATGTTTCCTTGCTGTGGCTAGGGACTTTCCAGCAGTAGAGTGGGGAAAGCTATCTTTACTAGCAGAAGACTGTGGAGCACCTGCTGATTGGTTGCCCCTGCGTTGTGATCTTTCCAAGAACTGCTTGCTCAGTTCCAGTAAATTGAAATTGAGACATGGTCTCTGGCAGGGCTACTAGGAGCCTGGTCTGACTCCCTGGCCCTCTCACATAGGTTTGAAGATGCACCTCTTTCAGCCCCCCCCTTCCTTTTTTTAACCTTGAGGTCCTCAGTTTGCCAACAGGACCCCATCTGTATTTTAAGTTTCCATTTGCATTTAAGCTTTATTTTCCTAGAGAAAGGTGTGCAGCTGTGTATGTGTGTGTGTGTGTGTGTGTGTGTGTGTGTGTGTGTGTGTGTGTGTTGGGAGTATTAGAGAATACCTGTTGCTTTCAGTCTAACATGAGCTTTTTACTTTTCCTTTAACTATTATAGCAGATGTTAAAACATGTAAAACTGATATATGAAGAAACAGAACAAACAGGGTAAAAATATCTGGATCTCTTGATCTCTATACTTAACGATTCTTATACATTTTTAAATAATGTATTATTCAAACTTTGGGGAGTATGTATTATAAATTATCTGAAAAGAAAAATAAAGTGTCATTACTCAACTTTTATACCAAAACATTTGAAAAATAAGTTGAGGATTTACATGTGAAACACTAAATAATGACATGATCACAAGTTACTGTGGTTTTTTTTTTTCTTCTCCAGAATGTTAGAGAAAGGTTTTTTCAAAATATGATCTAGAAGCCATAGAAGGGTAATTTTTTTTCATTGATGCTAGGAATCAGACCCAGGGTCTCCCTTGATTGTGCCCGGCCAATGCTCTGTGGATATACCACCACCCTGAGGTATGGATGAATTTTAGGTAGGAAGAGCGTGACTCAGCTTCCTTCACCATAATAGAAAAGCAGAAAGACCCCGACAGGTGATGCTTGTCACATCTCTGGGTGGATAGAGAGGGTGCTGGGAAGGGGATGGGGGCCAAGCATGCTTCCTATCCTCCCTGCTGCTGCAGCCAACTGCCCTCTGTGGAGGAGAGCTTTGCAGCATTTGTCAGCTTTCCAATGTCCTTGGATTTAGCCTCCAAGAATTTATTTTGTAGCCACATTCCCATGCATTCGAAAAGACCAATGCACAAAATATTTTAGCAGCCCTTGTATTTGTAGTCTCAAGAGGTGGTTGGTTAAACTGTGGTTCAGAGATACAGCCATTTCTCTGCAGCCTTAAAAACGAACACCAGGTCATCTTAACGGTTACAGAGCATCCTGAGATGGACTTAGGCAATAGCATGAAACTCAACAATGTTCACCATACACTACTCCAAAATCATATGCTGGTGTGTGGGGATGACCTAAGGACCTCCTGTGTCCCACCCCAGATGCTACCACGTGCAGAGAGAGGGTGGAAAGGCGACTTTATTTATGTGTAACTGCCTTAGTGTATACGGATTGTCCTGAAGGGTGTGGGGAAACTGGTTAAATGATTACCTGGCAGAAAGGAGGGAAAGAGTTTGCTATAGGGAAAAAGCAGAGGAGCCCTAGATAGTGAAACTTTTAACTCTCTGAGCTACCTTCCCCTTAAGAAAAAAGAGACAGCAAAAAGTTTTGAGAGTTTAAAAACTTTCAGTTTTTGTACAAGGGTGCATGAGGCTGTTCCTGGGCGTGAAGCTTTTAAATTCTTCTTCCTTGTGCCATGACTGCTTCTAAGAGGTTCCTGTTAATAGCCGACTTTATCCTAGACAGTCTGTGGAATGGAGGGCAGTGGGCACTCGGATTGGGTTGCTGAGGCCCACTGAGGCCAAGCAACTTGTCCAGCTCCTAGTCTGCATTACAGACTCCACAACACCAGCTCCCTAACCAGGTCGGCAGACATGTACTCATGCATGATTCTCAGAGGGAAGTTGGTTTCTTTTACTACATAACAGAAAGATTCTCTCAAGCTTTTCTTGTTTCCTTCTAGATTTATCCCAGCATTTAGTCCAGAACTACAGTGACGTGGAAGAACTTATGGACGCAGGGAATATCAACCGTACCACTGCAGCGACGGGGATGAATGATGTCAGTAGTAGGTCTCACGCCATCTTCACCATCAAGTTCACTCAGGTAAGGGCAGCCATGGGGCAGAGGCTCTATCCCTCAGGCCTTTGCTTGCTGATTAGCACCAGCTGAGCACTGATCATTGTTGAACCAGGAGCAGCTGCAGCAATGGTGACTGTCACTTCCTTGTTAATTAGAGGCGAGCATGTGCTGTGTGCTCAGCCCTTCTGCATTCACAGTGATTTAAAAGTCCTGATGTATATAGCCTGAGAGATATTTAGCAGGCTTCCACCTTGTTCTAGTATAAGAAAAACTTGCTCTTTGCTCTGTGCCTAATTAAGCAAAAGTTTTCATTGTTATAAGCACAGTGGGAGATAATGGATTTTGAGGCAGAGCACCTGGAGGCCGAGGTGAGAAACGGGCGCAGTACATTATCACACTATGGGCTCTGGTGATGCTGATTCTGATTAGAGTAGTATTAGAAGACAGCGAGCTCTCAGAGGCACTAATAAGAATCCAGTATGATTGGGTGGTGGACAGTGTCCTGAAGGTGGCTGGGAGTGGCTGAGGGGAAGTAGTCTGTTACCAAAGCCCCACCCCCAGGTATGCACAGTTGCAAGTCTTCCTGGTTTCAGCAAGTGTTGGGGATTGGAGTTGTCTCTCCACATTGACATGGAACACAGCAGAGACAGCCAGGCAGCCCAGAGGGCAGGAAAATGAGTTGACCCTCCAAGACGGATCAGAAGAGCTCCCTGGGCTTCTCTGTCCTGCCGGGACTTCAGTTAGAGCCCCACTTTGTGTTGTAGCAGCTTACTGGCTTTTCTCCAGTTTTCTGGTGGATACCTAATCAGTGTGTAGCTGACTGTAGTTTCTAAAAGGTTTACGTGTCTGTCAAAATCTATTTGTATTATGATTTGTTACATTTGGCTAAAAATATAAAACATAGGTTAAAGGTCATTGGAAATATGAAGTTCTGGTAGGATCCAGAGCAAGGGAACTTACGTTTTAGTATTCCCCATCTTTAAAGATGTGATATGCTTTATTAAATGGTATCAAATGATATCCTACATAACTGTCTGTTAGTCATGTCTGAAGCACCTTTGTGTCTGGAATGTTGGAACTTCCAGAAGAATAAAGCTAATTGTTTATTTAGTTTTTTTTTTTTTTTTTTTCCGGTTCCTCTTAGGGATTGGCTTTATATTGTTTTGTGCTCCAATCCTGAGGGTCGTTGTCAAGTGATAGTGGTTTGCCAAATGGACTGGTTCTTCAGAAAGCATGAGAGTCCCAATGCGGGACTTCTAATTTAACTTGGGCAGTTCTCATATTCACTACGATAGCCAATAAAACAAGCAAATGAACACCAAAAGTCTACCTGAGAGATCTCTGCTGGGAGAGAAAAGTGATGGGGATCTGGTCATGAAACACACTGAGCCCTTTGTCCTCTTCAGTGTCACGTGCATGTCTCTCTGCAGGCGAAATTCGACGCTGAAATGCCGTGTGAAACTGTGAGCAAGATCCACCTGGTCGATCTTGCTGGAAGTGAGCGTGCGGATGCCACTGGTGCCACTGGGGTCAGGCTCAAGGAAGGGGGCAATATAAACAAGTCCCTCGTGACTCTGGGAAATGTCATTTCTGCCTTAGGTAGGTTTGAGGTCGCTTCCTGCCCTTTTTTGTTTCGGTATAGTGTTAGCTCAGAACATGCTTGCTGGATGTTTGTTGTACGAACCCAGGTAGCTTGCTCAGGTCTTTTAGAAATAAATTAGAGAAAGCAGAGACTTTCGAATGATCTCCTATTTCTTTCTTCCCGGCAGCTGATTTATCTCAGGATGCAGCCAACCCTCTTGTGAAGAAGAAGCAAGTTTTTGTGCCTTACAGAGATTCTGTTTTGACTTGGCTCTTGAAAGACAGCCTTGGAGGAAACTCTAAAACCATCATGATTGCTAGTAAGAGTTTAAATTATATCCCTGAGCATCAGTATTAAGTGTAAATATTTAAGTTGAAAGTGTCTCATTAGGACGTTTCTTCCTGTCTTGAAAATCACCTATTGTAACACATCTGTAGTTTGGAATTTGCTGTTGTGTAGACTTGGGTATCATGGAGGCTACAATGCCAGGAAGACATGCTCAGCTTCTCTTTGCTTAAAGTACAAGGCAGGCACTGTGAACTTCACTAGCTCATAGGAGACTCCTATATAGAGGCAACAAATAAACAACCTGAACTTTTACTATTTAAAATGGTAGGTGCAGAATTGAAAATTGAAAGGAAAAACCAAGGAGTTAAACACAATAGGAATAGCAGTATACTTTTATTTTTACACTTATCACTTTAAATGAGAGACTAAGGATTGAAAAAATTACGTAGAATAGGAGATTTGCTAAGGGGAACTCAGGGCTTGTTAACTCTCAGCTTTACTTCCCTCTGTCTCTTTCTCCTTTTCTCTTCTCTCTCCTCTGTACTCTTCACAGCCCTTGCCCTGTAGTCACTGGTGGTGTTAAGGGAACACAGCCACCTACTCACCTTAGTCTTTAAGGTTAGGTGGGAGTGGCAGTGTAGAAGGAACCAAAAGCTTCTAGAACAAAGGAATTAAGTAGTCTACTGACTTTTGAAAAACTGCTGGGCTCTGGCTTTTCCAGATGATAGATTTTTATCAGAAATGCAAAAGTATTTTAATTCTTGCTGAATAGAGAAGTGCAATCCTGAAATTTCATGTTACTGGCTGAGGAAAGCCCTTTCCTGTGTGGGATATCTCACCCCTATCTTGAAGTTGTTCAAGTGGCTGATTATAGACGTGAGAGGAGCAAAACGACATTAACTTGGTATAGCCAACACCCTTTCCTATAAACCTTAGATAATGTTTTAATATTCATTACTGTGGTGATGAATATTTAGTCTTTCCTGTGACCTGGGGTTGATCTGACTTTTAAATTACAAACCAACTTTGTGTTAAATGAAACATGGAGTGCTAGATGAATTATTTTCTGTATTCATTCTTCACAGCCATTTCACCTGCTGATGTCAATTATGGAGAAACCCTAAGTACCCTTCGCTATGCAAATAGAGCCAAAAACATCATCAACAAGCCTACCATTAATGAGGATGCCAACGTCAAGCTCATCCGTGAGCTGCGAGCCGAAATAGCCAGGCTGAAAACCCTGCTCGCTCAAGGGAATCAGGTGGAGTTTTCCTGAGATTTATAGATAATTTTCTTTGAGTAATGGCATCTATTTCTAGATCTTAATGAGACAATTATCTTGTGGTATTGATTTGAGAAAATAAGTGCTAAGTAAAGCTTCGGATGAGTTAGCCAGACTCTAGATCAGCTTCCTTTTGGCCTTTGCATTCCTAATGCATCCTGGGTGTAAGATTTTATCCATCAAGCCTTAAATGATTGACCATCTAATAGTTATCAATTATGGATGGATATTTAGCATGCAATAGGACTAGTAGCATAATCTCCATTAGTCAAAAGAAATTTAGATGCTTAGAGTAATATTTAAGATTCTTCCCATGCATTTTATGACTCTAAATGTATTTTAACCGAGGAGTCCTGGTCTCACTTTAGCCATGCTATAGGTGGTTGTGGTGACTCAGTGGTGCCTCTGAAAGCATGTCTGTGGCCCAGCTGTGCTGCTGTTCTCCAGGCCTTGCATGATTCTTGCAATGGCCTCACTTCAGGATCTTCTGCATCCCGGAGAAGCTGTGTCTTTCTGTTTCTCCCAGTCTGAGCATTTCCTACAGGCTTATGCTCTGTGAGGACTGTGTGAGCTACGTTCCAGATGGCTCAGGTCCCACTGTGAAGAAAGGCCACCCTTGAAAGAAAATCAGGGAAGTTGTTTTAAACTTTTGCTGGTAGAAATAAAATGAAGATGCATTTATTGATATCTTAAGTCTATTGTTAAACAACTCCATTTCTGTAAATGGGAAGTGCTCAGTGCTTTCCCTGTAAGGATATATGGCACTCCACACTCTTGATAGCCCATAAAAGGTTTGAACTGTAGAAATATTGTTCAAATGAAACCTCAGTTTCCTGTGTCCTGAAGTCGGCCTGGTAGTCCTTACTCACAAGATGGCAGACTGCAGTTTTGCTGGACTCCTTCACTGCACTTAAAAATACCTGCGTACACACTTCCATTTATGACGTCAGGCCTCCTGTGTGAAAGGGAGTTGTCAGCAGAATGAGGTATCAGGAACCACAATGCTTGTTTCTATTTATACACTGCTATTGGAATCTTTTATCTGTGTTTTGGAAACATTACTTGTCTAAAGTCAGCCCTTTAAATGATTAATATGCGAAGGGAAGCATCTGAAAAATATTTCACGCAGCTGCTTTCCCTTGATCTAAGAGACTGTTGAGGGAGCGTGGGTCTGCCCATGCCATGGTACCCCTACGGAGGCCAGATGACAACTTTCCTAATTTGGTTCCCCCCTTTCATCATGTGAGTTCTTCGGCTTGCATTCCTGGCATCAGGTTGGGTAGCAAGTGCCTTTACCCACTGTCTTAGTCAGGGTTATTACTGCTGTGATGAAACACTGTGACTAAAGGCAGCTGGGGAAGGAAAGGGATTTTTGGCTTACACTTCCACATCACTGTTCATCATTGAAGGAAGTCAGGACAGGCGCTAAAACAGGGCAAGAACCAGGAAGCAGGAGCTGCTGCAGAGACCAGGGAGAGATGCTGCTTTCTGACTTGCCCAGCCTGCTTTCTTCTAGAACTTCAGGATCACCCTGGACCCTCCCTCATCAATCACTAATTATGAAAATGCCCTACAGGTTTGTGTACAGTACCATCTTATGGGAGCATTTTTCTTTTATTGAGGTTCCCTTCTCTTGGATGACTTTAGCTTGTGTCAAGTTGAAAGTATACCCACCGAACCATCTCATCAGCCCTGACTTGTGTTTGTTTGTTCTCCTTATTTCTGTCACAAGTTAATCTCATTTCTATAACTAAGGGAGTGATTTTGTCACTGGTTTAAAAGGATGAAGAGTATTTAGAAAATACATTTTGATAAACTTAACATATATATTATAGCAAACATGGGAGTCTAAATCAAAATAAGAAAAATTCTGAAACTATAATTCTTTGAGAAATTACAGGCATAATCTACATAATTAATTTTGTGATAATTAATAAACAAATATTCATAAATGGTCATTAAAGCAATCTGTAGTAATAATAGGAGCGGCGGGGCTGCGTCCCCAGCACCCCGGCCGCCTGCTAGCTTATGCCCAGAAATAACAACACACAAACTGTATTCATTTAAGCACTGCTTGGCCCATTTCTATCTAGCCTCTTCTAGGCTAATTCTCGCACCTGGACTAGCCCATTTCTAATAACGTGTGTAAGCACCCCAAGGTGTGCTTACCGGGAAGATTCTAACCTACGTCCATCCTGGGTCGGAGCTCCTGGGAGAGCAGAGCCTGGCGTCTCTGCTACAGAGAGCAGAGCTGTCGAGTCTCTGAGCTCACTTCCTCTTCCTCAGCATTCTGTTCTGTTTACTCCACCCACCTATATTCTAATCAATAACATGGGCCAAGCCAGTTTCTTTATCAGCCAATGACCTTCCTCCATCAGCAATCTCTGAATAAGGGACTGGAGAGATGGTCTGGTTTGTGAGTACTTGCTCATACGGAGCCCAGGTAAGGTGGTAAATGCCTGGAATCCTAGCCATGGTGAGATAGGGAGTGGAGCCACGCAGACCCCTGGGAGCTTGTGGACCACTAGCCTCACCTACACTGTGAAGTTCTGGCCAATGAGAGACAGATGTCAAATGAAGGTAGAAGGTGCCTAAGGACCAACACTCCAAGCTTTCCTCTGACCTCCCAGATTTGTGTACCAACCCCTACCCTCCGCAAGCATTATCTCCCTTTCAATCGCTCTCTAAAGTAATTCTGAATAAATCTTTCTGAGAACATTCCTCTATTTCTAGAATATTCTATTCCAGTGTTCCTATAGTTCTTTGAGAGTGTTAATTTAACTTCCATTTTTAGAATTGTTTATTTAAGCAAAGCTAAAGAAAATCAGTTCTTATTTTTAGTAATTTTATATATTGCCATTGCAGAGATCATGTGCCAAACATTTAAAAATACAATTGGATAAAAAAGAAAGATTCTGATAGATATTTACTTCTATTACATAGAAATATATGTGTATATATGTATGTTAATGTATACAGAGAATTTTTGCAGAAGTATATATAGATACAGACAAATTGCATCATGTATATATAGTTACATGGATTTAGAAGCTCAAGTCACCCATCTCTCTGTGCTCATCTTGAGAATAGAGTTTCACTATGTCCCAGGAGCTACTCTTAGTGCCCTAGCCAGGACCTACCCTTCCATCTCCTCACGGGTACCCTTGCTTCCTGACCATTTAAGGCAGAGCTTTTGCTTTTGCTCTTTATATATATGGACTCTTGCAGTCTGTGTTATTTGGATCCCGTGTGTTTCTGAGGTTCATCCATGTTGTTGCGTGTAGCTGAGCACCCACTTACTCTCAACTCTGTATTTTGTTACACAAAGATTTCCTAGTTCATCTAGTAAATTTTTGATTTACTTTTTGGGGTTTTTTTACTTGGGGTTATTATGTTTATTGTGGATCTTTAAATGCCTTTTGGTATACATACAGATATAGTTCTGTGGGGCTTACACCTAGGAAGGCTTGGTGGTCAGAAATATACATATTTATTATATGCGTAATTTCAGGAGGAACCACTAGTTTTTAAAGTAGTTTTGCCATTCCCTTTCCCCATCACCATTCACCAGTGCCAGCTGAGTCGTTGCAGATCCTTGCCCTTGCACAATGCTATGACAGAATGGCTTTGCTTTGCAATTTTCACATGGTTAATGAAGTTGGCCTCTAGGTGCATTTTCTTATCAAGTGTTTGTTGCATTTACAAATATTTCCACTTTTAACTTTATAAAGAGAAAATGTTCCAATTCCCTAATCTTTCACAAATGAATTTGGGAAAAAGTAAATTAATAAAAATAGAAATGGAATGAACAAGACAGTTAAGAAGCAAAGAAAACAAAGGGGCAAAAGGATGGAGGTGTAACAGACTCCTCATTTTATAGCCAGGCCTGGTGTTAGAATGTAAATAGCAGAGCAGCTTTGTAGAGGCCTTTAAGAGAGATGTGCATGAGACAAGAACCAGAGTAAAGCTTAGGCAGATGATGCCTATAGGAGTAGGTGGAGCCCTGTTTGTTAACTCGTCAAGAAGGCGAGTGATGCAGGAAGAGTAATAAATTGAGCTCTAGAAAAGATTCCTTTATCCTGACATAGAGTGCAGTTCACAGTTAAAACCAGACAGGGCATTGCTCTCCTTTCATGAGAACACAGGCAGGCAGAAGTGAGTGGGGATGCAGCAGTGCCTATAACATCATGGGCGTCCACTGTAGTCAGCACAGTTCAGATAGGAAGGAGGCTGCTCTCGTGAGACCTAGCACTGGCAAGAGCAGCTACAGAGAAAAGCATTATTACCCAACAGGAAAGAGAAGAAACAGGGTGAGCACAGGTTGTAGAAAACTAGTTTCAGATTGTTTCCTGATTATGTGGAAAACGTCCAATACAATGAATACCATTGGCTATATAGCATTTTTGGCAAGAGTGGTAGGCTTTAGTATAACTTTCATATCTGTAAACCTGGTAAAAGTGGGATGCCAGCTGTATAACCAGGCAATACTTATAATAATAACAATATTCCCCCAGTTGATGAAATTTGTCCAGGTTAAGATGGCCAATATATAAATTTAAGATGTCAGCTGTGAAGCTCTACCTTTGGATCCCTTGAGGCAAGGGACTCCTATAACTAGGCATGCCCCTCAGAAGGTATGCCCTGGTATTTTCACTGGACTTTGGCTGCTGTGGGCTGCGTAGATGCCCATGTGTATCTCCACCATGCACATGGGTAGCTGAAGAAGCACTCTAGACATTGTCACCAGGCTCTCCCCTCCGAGTTCTACACTTGTGCTTCCCCACTGAGCAGCTCTGTCTTGTCCTCTGTGGCCCGCAGCCATACCGACAGACTGAATGTTTAGCTGAACCTAGGAAGTCCAGAGAAAGAGATAGAAATGAACACCATGCTGGTACTGTAGGGAAGAATCACATGATGGGTAAGGAGTTCCCTTCCTGGAAATTTAGTCTGTTGATATGGTCACATGTACTGTAGGCGGTTGGTACGAGGATAGTTACTGTAGCTTGCTGGTAAAGCAAATGACTAGAAAAGCCTGCATTTACATCAGTCAGGAAAGCACCAACAGCAACTACAGGATAGCCATGCAGTGAATACCAAACAATGGAAATAAAATCACTAAAAATAAAATAAAAAGGTTTATATTGTTTAAGTATATACAATATATTCCTAATATATTGTTTTTTTTTTTAAAGCAATAGTCAGGATAATTGGCTTATACCATTTTCACTTATGATAGCACAACAAAAACATGGTTCCATTAAAATGAGAAAGAATGCTCTCCTGTGCTGAACTCCTTCTGTGTGTTCCTGTGCTTTCTCTGGCAGCAAGGGCAGCAGACAGAATGGGGCACTTATGATCCTGCCCCTGAGGCCCAGGCTTAATTATTAGACATGCAACTGAAACCCAGGCTGTCCACTTGCCCTAGCTTCTCACCTGATTTGGGTGTTTACGACTTCAGATTTTACCTTTCCACAGCATGGATAAAGAAATGTAGATTGTAGCATAGTCAAGTCATATGCTGGATGCCGTCAGCAGTGAAAACAAGTTTTGTTTTGTATATTTTGTTTGTATATTTCGGCATGGATGAACTATTAAGCAAGACCTGGGTGTCTTACCTTTTGAACTCTGTTCTTTGTGTGCAGTAGACAAACGAATTCTGAGAGCTGTAGGGACTTAGATGTGTTTGCCTTGAGTGAAATGCTGCTGCTGTGGCTTTCCCTTTGCTGATTTGTATGGCAGATGCAGGTTCACGACTGTGATGTCATGATTTTAATATTAGGACATGTATTCCATGGATTAGAGACTTAATCATAAATAGTACTTTGGAGATAAAGAGAAATTACTTTTTATAAATATTTAATTTTTTGTGAAACTCTTCTGATAATTTGTGAAAATCTTAGAAATGTACATCTTTTCTGACTATTAACTGCTTTATGACTTACATTATAGATTGCCCTCTTGGACTCCCCTACAGCCTTAAGTATGGAGGAAAAACTTCACCAGAATGAAGCAAGAGTAAGTTGGAGTTACTGTTTGTTTTTTAATTTCAACTTAAATATTGTTTTTTAGTCTTTGCTACAACTTGAGACAGTCTCCAGGCTCTTGCCACATTTTCTTCGTTATGCTTTTCTCTAGTCCCAACCCAATGGCCACACACTGTTTTTTGTGTTTGAGACAGAATGTCACTATGTAATGTCAACTGCACTTAAATTCATCCTGCTGGATTTAGAGGTTTTCACCACCACACCTGGTCCATGATATCTCTTCTTAGCTCTTGAGGTATTGCACGTCCACATGTTAGCAAACAGGATTTGAAGGGCAGTTAATGACTTGCTACATTTGGGGTCACAAGGGAGCCTCTTGATAGAGAGCGGGACCTCCCAAGCAGGCAGAGTCCTTGAAAAGTTAACATTCATGAGGCCACAGAGGTCCCCATAACTTCGTGCTAAGTGCTCTTCAGCTTTTTGGAGCCTTTGACTTTGCAGGGGACTGCAAGTACTCTGGGTCAGGGACCAGTTAAGAGACAGGAAGGGAGCAGCAGTGAGACCAGAACAGAGGATGCTCTGTAGGAGGTGAGCGACAGAGGGCTGACATCGAGGCTTACATTTTTCTAAACAAGCTTCGTGTCTGACTTGGTTCTGTCCCATTAATTTTTTTGATGCCCTCTGGGAAAAGAGAAACAGACAATAAGAGCAGTTTAGGAGTCCATATTTTTTCTGGTGCTAAACAGCCCTAGAGGAAAGCAAATGGTCTGATGGTAAAACCTTAAGACTCACACTGTGGAAGGCCCAAGTTGAGTTGTAGTTATGAATTTCTTCATAACTGCTAGGTTAATCATGTTGGCTAATTACTGATAATAGCATTAGTAAAGATGTCCACTTCTTAATCCTCATTTTTCTCGTGAAATTTTATATTTTACTGCTTCAAATCCTAAGTGCAGTGAAATATGTGGGTGTGGTTGTTTATCAATTACAGGTCTCAGGAACACTCAGCAAGTTAACAGAGACCAATAAGCATCTTAATTAGACTGCCGTCTTCATGCTGAGAAGGAGATGACTGCCTGTCTTATCCATAGCATGCTCTCAGTCTTGTCTCCCGTCTACTGTCCTTCTTCATGGCTTGCCGCTGGCTTACTCTTCAGGCACATTGTCAGATGGAACACATGCTTGGATTCTGTTAATGTTCTTAACGAAGATTATTTGTTTTAAACACAATGACAAATCCAGGGAGTACTTAGAATGTTTTGAAAGCTCAGATTATTTGGTGGTGTTTGAAAAGGATGAATTATTATTACTTTTTATTGAAAACTATGCTTTCTTCTCCCAGATCCTCCATTCTTCCCTACCTACCAACTCCATGCCCTTTCTCTCTTTAGAAAGAAAAACAAAAAGACAAACACATGCACACACACTCACAAAACTCAATAGAAATAAAAAATAAGAAACTATAATACATAATAAGCAAATGACAAGACAAAAATGCCTAAACAAAGCAACAAGAGGTAAAAAGTCAAAAAAGGTGCCATTGAGTTTGTGTTGTTTTGGCCATCTACTGCTGGGCATGGGGCCTGCCTTACGTGTGGGTAATGTACCCAGTGAGACTCTATCAGAGAACACTAAATTTTCTTTTGCAAGTAGGTGTCAATTGCAGACAGCCTCTTGACTAGGGACAGGGTCACACGCCTTCTTCTCCCTCAACCCTGGGACTCATGCTGGCCCTGTTTCTGCTGCCGTGATCTGTATGAGATCCTATGTGCACCAGCCCTGGGATATCTAGAAGAATCTATTTCCTTGGTGTTCCCCATTGCCCCTGGCCCTTAAAATCTTAACTCCTCCTTTTCTAATTGTTCCTGACCCCAGAGTAGAAGGCTTTGATGAAGACGTCCCATTTATGATTGTTTCAAAATCTCTCCCTCTCTGCACACTGTCCAGTTGTGGGTCTCTGTGCTGCTGATCGGCTCACCTTTCTCCATAAGGATGTGTATGGTGGTGTAAGGCACAGTCTTTTGCTGAATGTTTCCTATTCTTAGATCAGTTGCCAGTGAAAGTCCACTCATTGGTTAGTAAATTAGATGCTACTCTTTTCCCCTACTGTAGGGAGAAAAGATACAAGAATATCCCCCTCGGAAATGTTTGTAGAACAAAACATTCAAGTGCCTGCTGTCTCCTTCGAAGGGTCCTTGGGTATGAGTGGTTTCTGACTGTCACCACAGCCTTATCTAAGTGTGGAGACAGGCAGGGACTGATGGGAGTGTCTATTCACTCCTGTTTGCTTGGTTCACAAAGAAGACAGACTTCAACAGAAATAGCCAGTGAAGGAAGAAACATTTACTTGGAAACCCATGGTTATCTAGGGTAACTTGAGTATGTGAATGACCACTGAGTGTAAGTCAGGTAGGTTTGCTTCCCCCTGGGGTCCCCACAGGTCCCCACTCCCTCATGAGCAGCCCTCTTTGTTTAGTCATGGTTTCCGTGCTACAGGGCACATGCGTGTGCCTTTTCCTTAGGAGGGGGGACAGCAGGAGCCTTACACGATGGAGTCTCTGGTAAGGAGAACAGGAGGCTTAGGGGAGATTGTTTCTGCTATGGGAATTGGGAGGCAGTCAGGTGAGACAGATCTGTGACCCCTGCGAGGCCAGCTGTCCCCTTCCTGGACCAGTCTTTGAGTTCTACCTGTCTTTTTTCCACAGAGGGTATTTTTCATTCCATTTTCCCCTAGCCTCTTGAGTCAGCTATTACTTCTTTACTTCTTGGTTAATTAATCATGAGGATCATCTTAAAACATTTCTGGAAGTAGACGAAAATTTGATTAGCTTTGAGAAGTATTTACCAACTGTGCACTCAGCTGTCAGCCCCTGCCCTTTCCTCCTCAAGTTATGGTCCGAAACTGACTTTTATCAATAGAATTTTGCTGTGTCTGAAAGATCAAATAAAGAAGCATCTTTTACCCCTTTACCCAAAGGTACAATGAGATTTATAAACCCCATTAATTAGCTACCAAAGCATTATCTCCTAAAAGAAAACTGCAGCATCCAGGATGATTTAATCACCACATCCAACTAGAAAGGAAAATAAATGGCTATTTCTGAGAGTGTGGCCAGGAAAAGCAAACACACTTAATGTGCTGTTGCCATCCTTGGAGTTACAAGTGTTTAATAATCCAACTAGGTCCATCATGGAAAAGAGGTCATAGAGCTATAATTTGACATGTTTCTGTCACTTTCCTTTGCTGCAACGTAGGTTGTTGATGAGACCAGCTGTTTGGTTTATATTTGGTGGTGGTTCTTTCAAGGAGTAGAGCTAGCTAAATCTATCTATCTATCTATCTATCTATCTATCTGTCTGTCTGTCTGTCTGTCTGTCTATCTATCTATCTATCTATCTATCTATCTATCTATCTATCTATCTATTATATGTAGACATACACATACAGTTCATTTTTCCATAGGGTCTATACATTTAGAAACTTTTCTAGATTAAAATTATGTTTAATAAAATTGTTATATATTTAATATATAATAAAAGCAGTGTATATTTAATAACATTTATATATTTATATTTTTAAATAAAATCATTATATATTTATGTTTTTGTTTCTAGGTTCAAGAATTGACCAAGGAATGGACAAACAAATGGAATGAAACCCAAAATATTTTGAAAGTAAGGGCTGTGAAAAGTGTCTTAATCTTACTGTACTGGCTTAAGTAGGTAACTTCTCTATCATCTAAAATATGGCTGTATATGCTGTGTTTAAGGTAAGATTAATGAAGCCAATTTGGAACTGTGGCCTATGAGTCTGTGGATAGTGTCTTAGGTCATGAGTGACAGCTCACATCAAAACTGAGAACTGTAACATGCACACGTTACTGTGATATTCCACACACATGCTTTTACTTGTTGGAGTTTCTCCATTTGGAGCTCAGTACATCTAAAATCCTATTATTCAAGGACATAGTCTCTGTGTTTCTAATTTTGTTAAGGTCAACATAAAAGCAATGCATTAAGAACAAAAGTGGTTTTCATGGCATCATTATAGAACACACTTGCATAGCATGATTAGATTACAGGAATTTCTAAACTACTCATTTGCCATTCAATTTCTCCATGTCTCTGTGGCTAGATGAAGGTTGTATGTATTTCTGTCAATACACACTAGGGACACCTGTAATTTTGGTCTCTGTTTTTCATGCTCTGTGCTGCAAACTAGAAGTTTCCTTGTTATTTTGACTCACTTGATTGGTAGGATGAGATTTATAAACCCCATTAGTAGCTACCAAAGCATTGTCTCCTAAAAGAAAAGATTCACACTGCACTGGGTGTGGAGGTGAGTTAAACTTTTTGCTTTGATGGCATCCTGTTGCTTCTGAGGTCCAGTGAAGTGCCTTAGGGATAAAAAGGAAGCTCCATGTAATATTGACTGGCCAAGCTCAGCAGGGCTTAGCTAAATGTGTCAGCAGTGCATGAAGCTGGATCTTCTGCATGTGAAATGGCATGCCTGGTTAATGATTTCGGGGCATACTCGGAGGCCTGAGTTAGTCCCCAAGTCTTCATCTGACAACAGTATCATAGAGCCGGGGTCAGCAATATACTGTACCCACTTCTGTTTGTGTCAGCGAGGTTTCCTGCCCCCCTCTGGGGTTATGAAGATGCCTTGCTTGAGCTAGAGGTGATGCTCAGCTTTGATGTAAGTGGAAATGGGTTTATGGGCCTGGGGACTTTCTTTGCAGGAGCCCAAATTGGCAGTGTTAGGTGAGGCTTGAGCTTTCAGATTTTCTTCTCTCCTTCTGTTCCCAAGAAGAAAGGCATGCTATTTTGAGGTTCCGTGCTTCTCAGTGTTTCCTTTGTTCAGAATTTATTTATTCACTTTATTTTGGTGCTCTGGTTTCAACCCAGGGTATTAGACATGCTAGGCAAATGCCCTACCACTGAGCACACCGCAGCCTGCCTTTGACAAGAGACAATGGTGCATGAAGCTGAGCGGAGCTTTCATGCATATCTCAGAATAGTCATGCTAGAATAAGCACTACTGGGGGGGTGTTTGTTCCTGAAGTTTAAGACCCCTGAGTGGTACGGTAGCAGCCCCTAAAGGCCAGGCCTTTGGACTTTCTATGACACAGGGTAACTTTCCTCAGGAAGTTTGCAAAGATGCAGAAATAGTGTGCCGCATTTAAAGAACAAGAGCAATCATGTCTAGTAAACACTTTGGAAGTTATTAGCGCAAGTGGTACCTGGTAGGACCAGAGGCACAACAGCAGTACATTGTAGGACTTAAACATCATCTCCTGCTATTGCTGCTGTGATATCTACCCCCATATACGTTCGGTGTGTGTGTGTGTGAGAGAGAGAGAGTGTGATGTGCATTGGCACTAGGGAATGCACTAGGGCCTTGCATGAGCCTCAGAGTGACATTCCTAGACTGTAACTACTAATTTTATCTTGAATTCTTCTACCCTTCTATAAAATCACAACAGTGAAGCTTCTGAAATAATTTATAAAAGATCCCCCCGGCCCCTGAGTGATTCTGGGCTTTGAAGTCATATCCTCCTCTGATTCTCACCCATTTTACATTCATCTAATTACCTTTATTTTTTGTGACTTTTCAGATAAGTAGAATTTGTGTTTCAAAGGTAATGGGAAAGGCAGGGCGGTTTCCTGCCCTCTCCTGCTTGTTTGTTCTTTAGGCTGTGTTCACCCTCTGGCCTCACTGGGTGCTTTCAGGGCTCTCTCTATCTCCTTTTGGAAGACACCGCCTGTGGGCTGTGGTAGAGAACACTACTCAAATGCTTATTTTGAAAATCTTGTGTAGGAATTGGCTGCTGTTGCTCAGGTGTGTACATGTACCTGTGTGGTTTCTGTAATCCTCTCCTGCGTTTCTACAGTGTGTTCTGTAAGCTGATCAGTTGTGCCCGGAGCCACCCCTGCATACAGTGCTGCATGCTTCCCTTCCTGTTGCAGATGGGGGACTTCAGGTTAATTTATCAACAGACATCATGGGGAGCAGATCCAGGAAAACAGGGTTCTGTCCTCTCAGATAGACTTTAGCATTAAAGTCAGTGCTGCGTGAAGGTCCCTTGACTGTTGAGCTTGTCTGCATCTCAGCACATGCTGAACTCTTGAATGCTCAGAAGCAAGGAACAGCTTAGTCCCCTTCTTTCTGTATCCAGCCTATGACTTCCCTTGCTTGCGAATAGTGAACTCCAAGGTCTGGTTGCTTGGCATTAGAAGGACAATGCCAGTCCCTGGGATACTGTATGCTCTAACCAAAACTGCTCACCTTTTTGTTTGTTTAAGCAGAGCTGGTAGCATCATGGCCCCAGTGGCTGGGGTCTGAAGCTTTGGTCTCTTAACTCAGGAATTGTATCTCAGGCTTTAGTTCCCTTTCTCTTACTGGGCTGTGACTCTTACTTCCTTGTGCTCCTGTTTCCAGCTTTGAAATTGTGGTTGATGCCAGCTGATTCCCTGTGTCTGAGGTAGAAGGTAGGGGATGATGACATGCTCACATTCACTTTGAAAGTAGTTGATTATAATGTGTGTGTTTGTCCTTTCTCGTCTTCCTCATGCTGTTATCCGTCATTGCAGTTCCCCATATTGTAGTGACCCCAAACCATGTTATTTAATTGCTACTTGGTAACTGTAATTTTGCTACTGTTATGAATCATAATGTAAATATCTGACATGCAGGATATCTGATATATTACTCCTGTGGGGGTTGTGACGCCCAGGTTGAGAACCACTGTTTTAGGCACATCTTAGACAGGTGGTATGAGGCAGTTCTGTGACTGTGCTCTGTATCCCCTTTCTTGCTCCTTAGGCTGCCTTCTCATTTTTCTTATTCTTTGTTTTCTAAACTGCAAACTCTCTTGCTTCACCCCGAGAGGCTTGGGCCATCTGTTTAGTTTCAACTGTCCTATTGTGGGTCTGCCCCACCACCATTGGCGTATCTACTCACGCTGCTGAATGGCATGCTGGTCCCAAGTGCAACAGGGAGTTGGGTTTCGTGGTGTCTGTTAGTCTTGGCTGGGGTTGCTCCGTCATTAGGAATGCTACCCTTTTTTAGTCCCCTGTCAGAGTCCATTTGGAGCCCTCTGCCCCCACCGTTTAGTTAGGATGGATTTTGTTTTCCTCTGTGCTTTATGGCATTTGGTTTTAATCTGGTACAATATTCCCCATTGTCTGACTCAGGTGGTGTCGCTGTCCCTGCTTCTATCTCTTTCACATGGACAGTCAAGAGCTGGAGCTGGCCAGGGCCGTATCTGTCATTCTGTAAGCCAGCTCCCATGGCTCTGCTTCTCACAGAGTAGCATTCAGTAAAAAGTTATGGGATTCAGTTAGTAATAAACAAAAATGAAGCCCATTGTATTAATCAGTGAAGAGCGCCATAAATAAACACCACAGTCAGGATAGTTTAAACATCAGATTGATTTTTTTTTCCCATCACAGTCCTAGAGCCTAGGACTCCAAGATGAAGATCTTCCAGGGTTGGCCGTTTCTCCTTGGCACATAGACAGCTACCCTGCTGTGTCCTCACATGACCTTTCCTTTGGTGCTTGTGTCCTTGGCCATCCTCAGTGTGTCCCAGTCAACTTTTTCATGAGGACCACAGTCACACTGGCTTAACTTTAACTTGGTAACCTCAACTAATTAATTTCAACTTAAAGTCCTGTCTGTAGATACAGTCGTATCCTCAGATGTGAACATTGGGGCTACACAGCGTACCCCATTATAGCCTTGATCTATTCAAATATGAGGACTTGGTGAGAAACATCACCTCTTACTGTGTGGACCTCATCTCCTGTGCTTTTTCCTGCACTTTTCCTCTATTTGAAGGCCTCATGCATGACACTGTGGTTTGTTCGTTCTTGGGAGGAATGTGGCTGGGTTCTCTGCATCACAGCCTATCCTTAACCCAGATCATTTAGAACCTGGCCTTTTGAAAGTGTGGTTCACGATGGGCAGCATCAGTGAGTGGTGTTTGTGAGGCAGGAAGGAAAGAGATCTCAATCTGTACTCCACCCCATGTCCATGCATTAGAATCTTTACTTTACTCAGTGCCCATGAGATAGGTTTGTACCTTCATGCTGGAGTGCTGACAGAGCTGCCACACTGGGATAAGTGGGCAATCCTGGATTCTTTGCCTTCAGATCCATTCTGCTCTGTCCTATACTGTGGGGGCTGACCCCAACAGGGTGCCCTTTTCCAGGCTCCCTTGAGCCTGTGGGAAGCTGAAAGCCTCTCTAGTGGCAGCTTTTCTTCTCCATGGCCTCAGGTCCTGCCAGCAGGGACTAGCCCATGGTGCTTGTGGCTCTGCCTGGCAACACTACCCATAGAAACATCCCCTTCTCTCGGTCCTCATCTTGTGGTAGTGTTGGTTTCCTCTTTTCTGTGGGTGACTCCACCATTCCTGGTGACTTTTCAGCAACTCTCTTACAGCTAACAGTAACCAGTCCCAAGTGAGTGAGCAGTGCCTGTACTGAAGTCCCTGGGGTTTAAACAGTGAAGGTGGCTTCTTTTCTGTGGCTAGCATTGACTGATGCCCAAGTTTGTTTGTACCTGGTCTCTTGGTGCAATGCCACCTCCTGAGGGCAGTGTACCCCTTCTTTTCTTTTTCAGCCTTTCTTTCGGTCCTACATCTCGGCATGTGGTTCGCATGTTGGCTGAGT